TGAATGATGGTGAATGATGTCTAATGATGGTGAATGATGGTGAATGATGGTGAATGATGGTGAATGAATGTCAATCATGGTCAATCATGGTCAAAGATAGTGAGATGTCTTATGACGGTGACTGACGGGAATGAAGGGGAATGGTGGCGAATGATGGGGAATGACACCCAATGACAGCAAATGATGCCAAATCACATAAATACAAGAAAAATATATAGTCCGATTTGGCAGTTTGGTGTATATAGAACATGAACATATTACCCCCTTTTTGATCGATACGACACAGGCAACCCAACGTAATAACTACTATGACTACTTTATCATAAAATATCATATAAAATCGAGATATAAAGATGGAAATTTATTCACAGACCTCTTTACCTTGGGTATATATAATGTTTTCAAAGATCCCAGCCAAATACTATTTACAAGGGGCGTTATGTTTTTCCATTTTAGACCATGTGTCATTTCCTAGAGTATAATTTTTTTCTTTAACAGTTGCGCACGAAAAGACACGTGAATATGGATACAACTCAAACGAGTAATTTGTTATTCTCTTGAGAATAACAAATGGTCTCACGCTGAAATGAGAAAACATTACATTCAAGGCAGAGGAGGGCAGAGGCTACACGTAGACACTTTGGGCTACCTGTGTCCATAGCAAAGTAAGTGTTGGGCTACCTGTGTCAGTGGTAAAACAAAAGATGGCGGCTGAGGCTCACTCTCCGAAATTTAGTTTTGCAACTGTTAATGATTTATTAGACACTGAACGGTCTCAATCTCGAGATACGAGTTTGCAAGATAACAAGATAGATGTTTATAACAAGGTCTATTTGGAATTCATTGCAAGGACGAATGAAGTCGAAAAGAAACACAGCTCGTCGTCTTCATCAGCTGAGAACACACACTCCACGACACATCAGTCCAAAACGACAAAAGATGACACAAAAGATGAAGATGAATGCATTTGGACCAACAAGGAGCTAAGAATACTTCGTAAGTGCTTCCAGAGATTGAAGTTACAAAATATAGCTTTAGTTAGAAGGGTAGATTCTTTGCAAGAAGAGCTTTTGGAATGTAAAAGGGAGAAACAAATGGCCAGAGTTGCATTGACTTCTTTAAAAGAAAAGTGGTTTGAGTTGAAAAAGCGGTACAGACGCATCAAGATAAGCTGTAAATCTATGAAAGAAGACTTGATAATGCATCATACAGCTTTGAAGTCCACTGGTGAGGAGTTAAAAAACTTGAAGACTGAAAAATACTTGCTTTTGAATGATTTGAAGGAGGTCAAAACAAAGCTGGACTTGGAAACAATTAAGAGCAAAGACCTTGAAGCAAAACTTGAGGAAAACGAGAGACAAAATATGGAGACTTTGCAGCATTGTGCTTTTGTTACAAAACAGCAGTGCAAACTTGATGAAACTCTGCTAAGAAAAGAAATATTTCAGTTAAAAGAGGAACTGAGAAAAGAAAAACAAGAAAACAGGTTGAATAAAAATGCTCTGGAAAATCTTAGGAATCATTTTGCTAATGTTAAGCTTAATGAGCAAAGTTACTGTGATTCACATGACATATTATCTGCTGCAGAAATAGATTTTACTTAGCATTTTACATGTTATTTTTTGGGTTAAATTTTATCGACTGTATTAAAGAAAACAGATACAAAAACAGCCCTCTTGAGAGTGCAGTTCCATGATTTTTAACAACATTGCCAGAGTTTATAGGAATTAAGCATGGCAGTAGTGCACTCACCTCTTACCTCTGGGATCTCAGGTTTGATTCCTGTGCTGGGCATCACTTGTGAGTAGAGATTGCTAGGTTTCTCCCTTGGTTGAAGGTTTTTTCTCCAGGTTCTCCTGTACTCCCTTGCCTTGCAAACCCTGACAAGTAAAATTCATGTGTGCTGACTGTGCTCTGTCTAAAGTGCAGTAATACAGACAGCAAAATCATACAACTTGTAACACAAAATTGTTGAGTTGCAAGTTGCAGAGCAAATGTTGCTTATATTACCATTCTGTGTGCCACAATTTTTCATTGTTGCAAAGAGTAGAGAGTTCTTCTTCAATCAAAGATGAAGAAATAAAAAATGTGCATGCGTCCTATGTACAGTTATAAAACATGCAGTGGTTTGCAAAACATGAGAGGTGTTAGGAGAAGCAGGACCTATAGTGGAGAAAGCAAGCAAGCAATTTTTTATTTCTTTTATAAAATACAAATTATAAAAACCATAATTTTAGATGGGAATGACACAACTGAAAGTGTGCTTATGTGCTTAGTGCTATCATAAAGCACGCACTTCCAACCAATCAGAACGAGAGATTTATAACAGTTATTTTATACGGAAAAGTTGTTGTATGCAAGGAGTGGCATTAAGAGCAACATTTGCTCTACAAGTTGTAATGCAAAAATGTTGCAGGACAAGTTGCACGAATCAGCCCAGAAAATGTTCTGTTTTATGCATAGAAAAGTATAGCCTTCATTAATAGCTAAGAAAAAAAAACTGTTTTTCTATTTCAAATTTCAAGAAACTAGAAATCAATGCCCAGTGTTGTCAATCATTTTCTCAGGGTTAACTATGGGTTACCTGTGGAATAACACAAGTAAAGACTAATTATATTCTTGCCCAAAATTTTCAAAATTAAAAATCTAAATGAAACAAAAGCTTTTATTCCTACAGTAAGTTTGATTTTTCAGCTGCTTTTTCTTCCGGAAATGAATATATGAGCCGTTTTACCTGAATAAACCCAATCGAACCGCCCGCTGAGATTGGCACGGATGCTAAACTCACCCATGCATAACGATTTCTCTTCTCAGTTGGCCTGGCAACGCTATTAACGCTGTACAGTCCAGAATCAAACCCCTTAAAAAACTTCACGAAAAAGCTCGTGTCTTTGTTCGATATGACTTTTTGCCTTCGAATTAATATTTTATCTGAGTTTTACACCGTACTTTTCATTTATTAATGTTGTTTGGTGTAATCGGAAGCCATTAATTGAATGGACTGGTAGATGATGTTTACGGGTAAGTCCTACGGATTGGTCACTACACGACAAAGAACCACAGATCATTCAACTTGTCTTCTTAAACTGAGTTCAAGCCGTTTTAGACGAGAGTATAGAAGCGGTGCAGTGTATCATGGTGAACTAGAAGGATATAAGAAGACAGGCCAAGGAATATTCAAGTGGCCTAACGGAGCTTGCTACGATGGGGAATATACAGACAATAAGCGCCATGGAAAAGGCAAACAATATTGGCCTGATGGCGCTGTTTACCAAGGAGAGTTTTATAAAGACTTGAGGCATGGCTTTGGGAAGCTTACCTTTGCAGATGGAGAGGTAAGAATGTTGGGATTAATCAGTCTTTCATTCATAGGAATATTTTACGTTACAATATACAAGATACTTCTAATTGCAACAACGAGTATCAATAATCTTCGACATACGTTTTCTGTGAATCGCCTTTCATATTATTGTTATTACAATAAAAGGCAAATGTCGAAAGTCAAGAACCGAGCTAGCATTCTTAAAGCACGTATATATTTTACTTTGCAAATGCTTAGAATATGATAAGATGTCGAGCTTATCCGGACACTGCTTTTGTTTGATGGCGTTCTCTTGCATGATGACAGGGTTGATCTTGCACATCGGTATTCCATGCTTAAAACTAAATCTACCTCTTAATAACATGTTCACAGTTGTTTGAATTGCTAGACGTCTTCTTGAATGGCCTTTTTAGGTGCGTAATATAAAGTTTTACCCGGGAGGTTTATTCTTTTGAACGCAGTTAGGGTGAGCCAAAATTTGATGGATATCAGCCAATACCACCTAGTTACTTTACTGCAATTTTCAAAAAACATGCAAACTCAGTGTCTGCGAGCTGCAATCTGCAAATTGTTTTTTCACTACCATCAATCAAACCTAATCAGTTGGTACCTTTCATATTTTTGACTGGCAGCAGCGAAAAACCAAATTTCAGCTCGCAACGCAGTAATTGTCAGATTACTACACTAATTCTGGAAGGTGATCCGATCCAGTGACATATTTTAATAATTGTAGAAACCATGGATTTTGCCGAAGCTCCTCGACAGAAGGGTCTGCATATTTTAATGGAGAAGCATGATCCCCTCTTGCAAGTGCCAGGAATTGGCAGCCCGGGCACTCTTAAATCAAATAATGGATTTGGTTCATCAAATCACATTATCATGTTCCATTTTTCTTTTTTTTTTCTAACGATGATACGATTATAGTGGTCATAGGAATGAAAAAATGTTGAACGGAAAAGATAGAAGAGGATAAAAAGAAGTTTTCTTGAAGTTATTAAAGCAATCTTCCTTTTTATTTTATTTTTAGTCTTATGAGGGTGAGTTTTATGAAGACAAGAAGCATGGCAAAGGAACATATATTTGGCCAGACAAAACCACTTTTACTGGACAATTTCAGTTTGACAGAAAGGAAGGGTTTGGCTGCTTTGTATTTCCAAGTGGGAACATCTTTCAGGTACTAGAGTATATCTTAGAATAAATGTGACATTGTAAAAAAGCTAATAGAGGTTTTGCACCATCACATGCTGGCTTCCATGCTAGATAGCAGAACAATAACATACCTTTACTCATGGGAATTGAATTCTTTCTCATGTAAAATGATTGTATTGTTCCTGCCATCTAACATGGCTGCCATCACACTATGAAAATTCTATTGTTTCAAATTTTTTTTTCACCACAAAAAAAATATGGGCAATCAGAATGCAGGAAAGCTGTTGCATATTTGGCAGTACCCGGGGGGGGAGAGACTCCAGGGAAAAAGTACTAGGGATGCTCGTTGTATCTCTTAGGGGTAAAAATTCGCGATTTGGTATCTTTTAGGGTGTTAAATGCGAATTTTTGAAAAGCAGCCTTTTCTGGTATCTCTTAGGGTGTTGGAAAAGGAGAGAAGTGCGCATCCATATGGATAATCCTGGGCACTTTTTATATAAAATTTAATATTATTTGTGGTGGTATCTCTTAGGGGTTAAAAATCATTCAGCCATGCCCTTTTCTAAAGACTTCCGGTATCTTTTAGGGGTCTTTTTGATAATTTTCGACAAGCATCCCAGATACTTTTTTCCCGGAGTCCCCTTCCCCTGGGGGCAGTAATGCAACATTTCTTTCATTCGACCATTTCTTACCATCAGGCATTGCAATGTTTTTAATTTTCAATAATGATTTAAGACAAAATAGTAATACAGTGCTCTTGTGAATGGCGCACCATGGGATATATCACTTGTCAGGGAGTGTGTATACTAAAAAGTACCAGTAGCTCATGCTATATCCCATGGTATGTACGCCTTGTATTTTATTCTTATATGCACTCACCTGATTGCTCATGTTTATACTAAAATATGAAAATACATATAAAGTGTGGTATATTCAGTGGTATACCACTCAGAGCCATTCTATAACGAATACATATTGTACCACTGAAAGTATGGAATGATGTTTGTAACCATAACAAATGTTAACAGCACATTTATATAGGACCTGTAATAAGATTTTTTTGATTGTGTAGGGAATTTATAAGAAAGATGAAAGGGATGGACCTGGAATATTAACCTACAGCAATGGGAGAGAAGATGTTGGAATCTGGTCTGGAGCTAAAATCATCAAACTTTGCTCTGTCATGGAAAGTGCCTTCTTGTTCCAACACTTTACTGAGTACAATGTCAATGCAGGGCAAAATCTTTCTATCAAAGTTCGTCATTCCAACTCGGCCATGGAAAGTGTTCGAAACACACCCTCGCTTATTGAGATTGACGAGTCTGAAAGCAATGAAAGGGTGAGAAGGACAATCCCTGAGTCTTTTCCATTTATGGACATTGTTGATGGAATTCGAGGAGACAGGGGACCAAAAGGGCCACTTGAATGCAATTCAGAGGAGCTTTTGCAGGCAGCAACAGCAGGAGACTGTATCAAAGTGAACAATTTGCTGCAGGATGGTTTAGTACATGTAGATGTTGCAGATAAGACTGGATACACCCCGCTATTGGCTGCTGCTGTAAGTATACCTATGCCTGAACCTTACTACGTATAATAGTCATAGTTACGTTTTCCTAAAAATGCCCAGTTTTATTTGGAATTTAGAAGTAATGGTTTTGCAGTGGGTGCGCGGAAACAAAGAATCTGGTAAAAAACCGTTGACTCACAATGAAGAATTAACAAACAGAAAACGCGCACAGATACCCTGGTCCCAGAAGCTTGACGAATTTTCTCCCAGCAAAATACGTGGTTTGGAGAAATTCTTCAAGCCTTTGGGACCAGGGTAACACACAGAGAGCTCTCTGACAAACGACTCTAATCAAAACCACAATGACGCGAGTCGAACCCACCGTGGCCTAGCGACCATAGCTAACGCAGCGCCAATACGGGTCTTATCATTAATGCGCACACTACTGGTGCTTTCCGCATGTTGATGTGAAGGTCATATTTCAACTAATTCAACATGGCCATTTTCAGCACTCATTTGTAACATTTCCCATTTTCCATTTTTCTTCCTTCCATCTTTCCATTACCGTGGCCACGTCTTTCAAAGAGTTGGCGTGCATAATTTTTTTTAATATTTCGTTTCAGGTTAACTGTCACCGTGACGTCATCAACTGCTTACTTGATTACGGAGCCAACGTCAACAAGCTAAACGACGAAGGTCTTTCTGTATTGGCTGCTTGTCACGTGCTCTTCTATACCAAACACACGTGGAAAGACAACATTGCCGAGAATATCCCCGAAGAAAACCTTTTTAATTACATTCAGGAGGATGCTCAAAAAGGAACCTTTGTGCATCGAAATTGTCGTAAGATCACACCTGAATCAACTGACCCTTCCAAAGGTGACGTCGTAAGTAACACCTCTGAGGAGATCCCACATGGAATGGAAGGTGATACGAATACAAATATACCCAAAACGAACTTGTTTTTGACTGATCCAGGAGGTGAACTGGTTAGATTAAGAAGCCAAGAGCACGAAGACAGCGATGCAAAGGGAATTGAAAGGATATTGAATGAAGGGGAATCGGAAAGAACTGAAAAACAGATTCATATTCTGGATAAAAATTTCGAGGAAAGAATGAAACTTAGCATAAAACGAGGTGTGGACAAAGAGACACTTTTAAAAAGTGCAAAGAAAAAAGAAACTCAAAAAAACACTGAACTTATATTTACAGATAAAAGCAGAGAGGACAATGGTTTGGTGAAGGATGATTTACTTAGCAACACACGGCATTTAGAAGTAGAGAAATCTGGGTTAACGGCATCCAATGAGAACTCGCTGTTCAGTATAATGAGTGTATTCAGCACGACCAAAAATGTGTCTTCAGTTACAGAAGATGCACGAAGTGAGAGCAGCTTAGAACAAAACAAGCAGCTTTTTCTTACCATGCAAAGGCAAGTATATGTTTTTTGTAGTTTATATAAATCTAATTCGCTCTCAATTTGAAAGGACTGTGGATGTATTTCAAGTTTTTCTACTTTACAGTAGAATCTAGTATAGAATACATGGGATCATAAAGTACTAGTAGATATATATTAATGAATCGATCAGTGGCGAAGAAGGGAGATCCTGGGMTTTTGGCATTTCCTTCCTAGACTTATTCCATAAGTTGATGTTTTCGCTCTTTTGTCGAGCGACGACAACCCAAAAACGAGCGAAAACTACGACTTATGGAATCAGTCTATTTCCTTCCCTCCGTAGTTTTTTCATGTCGTTCGTTATATGATATGATTATCAACAAACAGTTCCTTCACGACATGAAAACCCCGAAAAATTACTAGGGAACATCTAAGCTTATATTCTTCGATTGCACGTTACGTCATCGCGGCCATGTTGGTGCCATTTAACAAAAGATTTCTCTTTAGCATCCATTGTTAACGGTACCACAATGGCCGCCATGTTGTTGTCTTTTGACTATTTTGGGAATGCTTGCAACCCATCAATAGTATGTCCATTTCATTAACAATGCACTCCTGAGTTTTACCATGCTTTGGCAGAGTGTAAAATAATTGGCTATTGCAATCCTCTTACTTGACAGACGTCCACATCTTGAGGCTACTGTTCGTCTGTTACTCAAACGCGGTGCGGACCCAAACTCTTCATCGCTTCCAATGCCTGTGTTGTTCTTCGCCACTAAAGCAGCAGATACAGCAGCCATTGAAATATTACTTCGTAAAGGCGCTGACACATCAGCCACGCTGGCTCATCAGGTAATTAACTGAAGAACTATCCACGTCTGTCGCGAATGAATATAACGGTCCACACTTGATTGTCTCTCAATTTTGAGTTAGGATCGCTACCTTGACTCGACGTCTCGTGTGAGCCTGGGGCTCTCCGGTTTTCCATCCTCCGAAAAACTCAACGCTAAGTTCTAATTCGACCTGTAAGTTAACCGTGCCCAAAGAGAGTATGAAGTACTTTATATTCTCTTGCCGTGCCCTGAATTTTATCAACCCAGTGGTACAGTGGTTGTTCAAGGTTTCGAAAATTTGAAGGATCATTTCTTGCTAGTGTGCATTGGTTGTCCATTTTTTATTTAAAGCCAAGCTATTTCCTTAACCAACTAGCTATTTTAAAAGAGGTTGAAAGGGGGAATGGCGATCGGTGATTGGCGATTGCACGACCCGAAAGGAACTGTGGTCATACTATCAAGGAGACATGAATCGAATACCAACCGCATCAATTCGATGAATGGTGCAGGCATTGTTCAGGTATTTAAGAAATGTTTATAAAGAAATTCTTATTACCCCACAGTTTCTTTCTATCAAGCAATCACCGATCGCCATTCGCCCCTTCAACCATTTTCGAAATAGCTGTATTAAGTGTGAATATTTTTTTTCTTCAAGATGTGATTTTTGTTTCTTCAAGAAAATTTTCTCGGTAAAAAAGTTTGAAGCTCGGAGTTTTTTCCACGAAAAATTTGCTTGGATAACATAAATTACATCTTTAATAACTGTACCCAGCAGTAAGAAAACCCCTTAATTTTTGTTTCTTTTTCCTCGACCTAGAAACTAGGTATTGCTCCTCTACATATCGCTGTGGCGTTGCCAGATCCTGCTGGTATTCAGATCACAGAGCTGTTCCTGAAGTCAGCTGCTGACCCAGATATACGTGACAGTGCGTTTGGAAGCGAAGATAATAACGGACGCACACCTTTACATATTGCGTGTTCGAGAGAAGACAACGATAAGGTATCGATCTGATAACAATGGATCGAAGATTGATCGTCATTAGCATCCCTTGGGGTAGTCCGCTATTCCTGCTAATGTTGCGCGTCTAATAACAGTAATGCATGCATACAGGCCTAAGATCAGTCTTGTTGCCTCTTGTGGCCCGCGCGTCTGGTTCGCGACTACAAGACTTTGTACAAATTTGGAGATGAACGCTGTCATTTATGTTTGATTTCACATAACGATAGAATAGAGCATAGCCTTTGGTTCTTAGTAGAAGTTCGACCCCTAATCAATGCCATTCTTCTCTCTTAGGACGCCTGTGCAGTCGTTCGTCTTCTTCTTGATTATGGAGCAAATCCTGATTTGTTGTGTGAAGGTCATTCTCCTCTTTCTCTAGCGATCTGTAGTGGAAATGACTTGGTAAGTAGGCATTAGAGTGGTTTTCATATAAATGGGAAACATTAACATACGATACAGAATTATAGCACGTACACGGTAGGACATGATGTGACATTGTAATGGCTTCCCATCTGTACTGCTACAGTTCGACTACGAATTTGTCGTATCGTTTCCCAATGGAATGAAAACCGCTCTATAATCAATGACAGCCCAAGGAATCAAACCATGCGTATGACTGTTAAATTTGTTCTCCTAAGCGTTGTTGCTCATTTACACAGGCTGTGGACGCCCTTTTGGAGCACCGTGCAAATCCAAGTTTAAAACTAAACAAAGGAGTTGGATCAGCACTTTGCGCAGCAACGTCATTTGCGGCTGAAAGAAGACGTACCCCTCAAGGCAGGATTCGTCTGGTAAGACTCATTTCATTCAAAACTAAGTGTAATAGTTTGAGCAGATATCATTTAACTATGGAAATATAACGACAGTATATGTTTAGGGACTCTGCGAGACATGGCTGATTTGAGGTCTGAGGTCTGATTGGATAAGCATGATAATATGTAATCCCGGCGCACGGCGCGCACGGCAGGTTTGATGTGTCTAAGGACTCTGATTGGATACGCTTGATAATGTAATCCCGGCGAATGGTGCGCACGGCAGGTTTGAGGTGTCTAAGGACTCTGATTGGACACGCATGGTAATACAATCCCGGCGTACGGCATGGAAGGTTTTACAAACAAACCTATTTTCATTTCTTTACACTACCTCTCCGCCAGTGCTGACACATTTGATTCGACTCAGATGTATTGTAAGTCTACTCGACCTTTTTCTAGATCCATGACGTAAAAGTCAAAATGGCGGATGAAGATATCAATTTATAAAGTGTAGTCTTTAGTAAGTCTTCTGCATTCATCGTTTATTCTCACTTTACAGATAAACAAGCTGATGCGTCACGGAGCGAATATTGTCGCTCCTATTGTCGTGACAAGCCGCTTTCCACCAGGCACCGTGGTCGACTATGCTTATACCGTTTTTTATCAGGTATTGAATAGGTTATTTGGCACTGGTATAATATATTTATAAAAACACAGATTTTCAAACCGAAACAAGTGTAAAATAACTTTATCATGGTCAAGTATCATTCTAAAATTCTTCGTTTGCACGTTACGTCATCGCGGCCATGTTGGTACCATTTAACAAAAGATTTCTCATTAGCATCCATTGTTAACGGTACCATAATGGCCGCCATGTTTTTGTCTTTTTAACTCTCTTGGGAATGCTTGCAACCCATCAATAGGGATTGCATTGATTCGGGTGTAGTTGGTGGGCACTGTGTACGTCGTCGCGGTCACCCTTATTTCTGTTAATTTACTTATTAATATTAATTTGTTGCATTTATTTTTGGTGAGGCTATTAAAATTAAAATTAGATAAATACCCCCTCCCCCTCGGACTCGCGTTGAAATTCTCGATACTTGCGGGTGTCCGTAAAAACAATTGATATACAAGACGTTGTGTACGTTTCTGTGATTTGACTTTTAGTTTTGGAGACATTCGATTAAAAATCTAGGATATATTTCATTTCCAGAGGGGGTAGGTGAATGGTAACCCCACCCCTCCCCCCTGAATCTGGTCTCGTACGTTTTGGCCTTATCCCTAGGTAAATCCTATGCCTTAAATGCTAATCATAAAAGTATGTTAAAGTATTTTTTTCCTTCAAAGGATCGTAAGATTGCACACACACCGTACCATGCCCTAACACCTAGTGAGAGAGATTGCTACAATGCAAGACGGGAAATGCTCGAGCATCTGGGAGACTTGCTGAGGACACAAGTGTTAAGGAAAGAGAAAGAACTCATCGAAAAACAGTTGGTAAAGATAGCGGAGAAACAAGGTAAGTATAAGTGGGTTAGTTTCTTTAAATGATCGTCATGAAAATAAATCCATGTTTTTTTCTTTCGTAAGTTTGTAGCAGACCCTTTTTGCTTAGGCGCAACGTATTCCCAGTTCAGATCAGGTGTCCYTCCCTAGAGTATATTTTCTTTGTTTAACGGTTGCGCATGAGAAGACACATAAATATGGATACAACAAAAACAAAGAGTCTTATTCTCAAGGGAATGACACGTGGTCTTAAATGAGAAAACATTATGCCTATGGTAAAGATAGTAATTGTCTCTCTTTTTCGTTTCCCGCGTGCCGCTTAAAACTCGCGTCCGTTTCCCGCGCTTCGATCCCGAGACGGGGAAATCCCGAAGAAGAATTATTACATTCTACTGACAACCTGTATGCTTCATTACAGATTCCGTCAAGACACCTCAGTATGGTATCCTCAAATCCCCTGAACGAACTCCAAGACCCAAAGACACAGAAATTCAAGACACTGGACATGGTGTCAGTTCCAGTCGTGTTACGTTTCATTTTGAGAAAGAAAGTGGAATAGCTGAACAGGAAATGCAGGAGCTCGAGGAAGAGGCAGATCGGGAGATTGAGGCGATCATCAAAAATGATAATTCAACAGGAAATGATAATCAGGTACGAATTGAAAATCAAGGGTGGTGTAGATCGCGGAAGTGCACTCACTGGTACCCACCTCCCCCCCCCTCCC